TCATCCCCACTTTTTAATTTTCTATTTATATTCTAATTATACTGCTACACCAGCTTCAAGGTAGTTATAACTACTTTTTCATAAGGTTAGCTTGACTAGAGTTTAATTTAAACCATAAGTAGCTTGTAGCTTAGCAAGCAAGAAAAGTCCTGTCCCCAACACTTGATGGATCTACAGCTGTGCAAATCAGAAGATCTTTCATTCCAATCTCTGCAAATGGAAGCTTGTTAGATGCCTAAATCATACAATTCCTTTTCAAATTACACTGAATAGCCACAGTGTGTTCACCAGAAATACTGCTAAATGGCCTTGTTACATCCTACAAAGTCCCTATATCAGTGAAATAACCACAGAGTTGAATCAGACGCGCTAAAAAGGGGAAGCGCAAACTAAGACCCTTCACTCCATATACAGGAAACTCAACCCTCCAGCTCATGGAGAAAACAACAGCCGTTTCACCATGTCACGCTCGCTTTCCTGTGGGTGTGCAGCTTGAGGACGACAGAAAAGTAAAATGGAGTGCTTCCTCCTTTTATTTTTAGTTGCAAATAGGTTCATCGTTCTCTCTCGCAAAACAGATCAATTTTCTAGCTCACCGGCAAGGACAAACAGCCTCAGATAAGGGTACAAGCATCAGAGAGCGCTTTTCTGAACATGACTTATATATAGTATAGACGTTTTTCATATCCCCTAGAGATGCTGGATTACTTTGGGCACTAAGTGCAGATCTAATCTCTGGATAAAGCTGTCCATGTACAAGCAAAACAAGAACAAATGAAATCAGAACAGGTTTTACTTGCTTTATAGTAATAGCAGTAATCAGATAATCAAAGACAATACATATGACATTTTATGACAAGAACATGCTGCAGTTTTATAATGCAATATTTCTTGAGGTGCACTTACAATTTTAGTAGTTTTTTTTTTTTTACATCAAAAATTGCCATAATATAGAAATAAAATATGACATTTTATACCCTTCTAATAGGAACACTGGGTAGTTTTTAAGACTTCAATGTTTACTGCAATGATTGGGTAACATCTTTGCATATGAAATAAGTATGTGGACCCATTACAACTGCCAAGATTAACTAATCGTGAAAATTTTTTGATTAAAGCATCATACTCCGATCTACTCTCATTGCATAAAAGTTTCCAGCTCTGAGCATTGTAGCCGATCACAGTCTCATTTGTGTTGCAATGATAACCCTATTGCAACACAAATGATTTCATCATAACAAACACAGTGCAGATACAATGTATCTCATTGAGCAGTGTAGACAGCATCATTTATCAAAACAAGAGTTTTTGTGTGCAGAACTCAAGGCGTTCACATTGAACTTGAAGTGACTGACAGCTCCAGTGATTAAAAAGGGACCGTTATTTAATCCCTTTCTGTATATAATTTGATCAGAATTTAAATAACAGGTCATTTCAGGAAGTTGACCGTTTAGTGACTGGCTTCATTTACTGAAACATAAACAGCAATTAAATATTTTGTGACGAATGTCTGACTGTATGAGTCCTTGCATACCAAAAAAATACTACAGGTTACAGATTAGTTATAGAATTAACATGCTTACAAATGGCTGTAACCAGGATTTGAAAATTAGTAACGTCTGGGGGTGTTCAGAACTGTGCTATAATAACACCTACAACTCAATATATACACTTCATATAAACTTCAAAAGAGAAAGACATGTAGATGTTTGTGAAAGATCAGGGCTTGCACGTCCCGGGGCTATTGTGTTTTCCAGTCGGGCTACCAAAATGTATCACCACTCTGCCCGACGGGCTATACAGATCTCCCGCAGGTCCTTAAAAACTCAAAGTGAGTTGTATCAAACCTAAGGCCATAAAAAGTTTTAAATACGTTAAATGGTATAAGAAATATAATTATAATTTCAAGAGGTCTTACAGTTGGGGA